AATGTCATCGATGTTCATTTCTAAAGCCAACTGGACGCCTTTTTCGATCATACTGATTGTTATTAGGATTTTTAGTTATTAAAGATGATTTTTTAAGTGTAAAATCAAAATAGATTTATATAATGGATATTAAATACTAAATACCGTATGATCGAAAGAAAAACGGCGTCAAAGACTGCTGGGAATAACAATCGAATATAATTTTGGCGAGGTCTATTTCTAGATGTCATTTATTAAAAATTGACATAAAACTTGTCAAAAACGAATACCTCGATTATAGAAAATTATAAAAGGATAGAACGTTTCCAGAAACACAAATCGATATCCAAAAAAAATTTTTTCGAATTTATATTACACCATTTAAAAATCAAATACAACCTTAAGGCGTACTACTGCCAGTAAGTGTCATTAAAAAATAAACAAGAGTAGGGGTCATGACATATCATCTTGCCAAAATTATCACCGATTGTCATTTTTGACGCCGTTTATTTTGATAGTATAATTTTTGTAATAGAGGAATGTATTTTTTGTTTTGTTTATTAGGACTAAAAAAAAATATATAGTTTAAAAGATGAATGCTTCTTTGTTTGATATGTTTTATTGAATAGATAATTATTTATTCAGTACAAGGTCCCGATTATCCGCGAAAAAACTGATCCAGAAATAAGTAAATATTTTAGAAATTTTCTTTTGTTTAACAAAGATCTTTATTATTGTTGTTATAAATAGTAATATTTTTATACCTAATATTAAATTGCAATTCGCCACGACAGTTTTAAAATATTCTCATTTTTCACCGTTGCTTCAATCAAAATAATACCATTAATTCACATAAATGTTTTATAAAAGTCGTCTTCGGCTCGTATTCATTGAACGCTTGATGGATTATATTACTACTGAAGCAATTTACAGACATTACTATGGAAATGTGCATATCATAATTTCAATTAGTTATTTTCGTATAGAAGTGATTGGAGTATAGAAGTAGTCATTTTCAAAATTTGAAGAGCCATCTAGCACAACAATATATCGTATCCAAAAATCATATTTACGAGAATATAATATTAAATTATATATTACAATCAAAGTAACTACGCCACTGGCACACATTCTCAAGATCTCTGAACAGCGTTGCCATTCTCTCGGGAATCCTTCATGACTGCGATCAGCCCGTCTTGTTCCCACTCGCATAGAACAAGAAACGAATGTCTGATTCTGATCTTTCTCTTTTTATGAATGAAATGCCGGGTCTACTTTATTTAGAAGTCATTGATTTTATTAGTCTTTTATTATTTTATTAGAAACACAAATTTACAGTCAATATTTTCCATTAAATGTAAGTTGTTTAATTTTGGCCAAAAAAGTAGCTTCTAGAAACCATAGTGCGACGAGTAAATACAGCATTGACATAATTTTATTTTTTCTCAATTTTGTGGCGGCATCGAACCCAACGTGTGGGAAATCGCAGAAAATTTATGTATGTCAGCTACAGACGTTTGCCAAATTTACATTTAAAGTGTGCCTCTTCAGGGTTATGGGTTCGAATCCTACACCCGGCATTTCATCAGCCGACTATTTTTAATAAAATAAAAATAGTTTTGGGTACCTATATAGGTCGACTCAGCCTTAAATAAATGCTTGGGATTCACTATCCTGAGGTAATAATAGGCAGTTGAAGCGTAGTGCTAGCCACATTACCTTCCTTGTATACCGAACGGCTCCAGCATGGCAAGCTGTACCTTGCTACTCACAAGGCGTTAAACTCTATGGTATACGGGAGCTATTATTATTGTTATAAATAATACTGAAATTTAATATACAGAGTGGTCCGAACTGTATTCCGGAAACTTAGGCAGCATATTCTGCAGATAAAAATAGGTAAAGCAGTGTGTATAAATGTATGTTCTAAAATGCTTAGTTTTGGAGATACAGGGTGTAGAAGTTTCGAACATGTTGAGTAGATAGTTTTTTGACTGAAATGATAAATTTTGGAACTTTTATTATTTTTTTAAATTAATATCAAATATTTCTTCGAATAAATGATGATAAAAAATGATGAACTTTTGGCACAAAAACATTTCAAATTTATGATTTCAGTCTAATAACTATTTAAATCAAATCAAAAAGTCTTTATTAGGCGGGGCTCAGCCAAGGCTGCATAGGCCCAACCTGAAAAATATTACAAATGCATGTATAATAAATCATCTTATTCTATTTAGTTATGTAAAGTGAAAGTTATGCGAATATTAACGTTCGAAAAAATTGATGAAATTTTAGCTCCCATAAGGAAAATTAAACAAAAGCATATTATATATATATATATATATATATATATATATATATATATATATATATATATATATATATATATATATATATATATATATATATATATATATAATAAAGAGATGGGTAGTCTACGCGACTGACTAGTTGAGAAAAAATATTCAAACAGGTGTCTTGGGGATGCAGTCTAATAAGAAGGCCGTTAGTTCAAGGAAAAAACCCTTTATTGTTTAGTCAAGCTTTCGAGGAATTCAGTTGTTCTCTTCTTCAGGACTCTTCTACAATTATAGTAATTAAATACAATTTCTATTCTTTGTAAAAAACTATTAAAATGCAACTCACCAAAGTGGGATTATGGTAAAGTTTACAACATTGCTCAACAATCAAAAGAATCCTCATTTCTCAAATGGTAGTAAAATCAACTTTTAAAATACACGTGAAAACTAACTACAAAAACTTTATAAAAAACAATACAACGTGTATGTGAGTACAAAGTCAAAGCACGAAAATTGCATGTCAAAAAATCTTAAATACAATAGCAATTAACTCTGCTTCATGAACGATCTAATTATTTTATTGTAAATACTCAAAAGACAAAAGAAACGAATTAATTTTCAAGATTTTCTTTACAGTAAAGTGCGTTTTTGTTAGCACCGCCGATCGTTCACTAACGAACACCATAGTTTCAAAAAAGGTAAAATATGTTACTCTTGATAAGTAAAAAAGGATAAACTTATGCATATAATAAAAAGAGTGAAAGAGAAACAACTACATAGAAATATTTTGACACATTGGTTCGTTTCATCAGCGAGATCGACCATGCGCAATATAACATCAATGCTACACTGAGAAAACAGGCATTAGACAACTTGATAAATTAATTTAAGTAAAAAGAAAAAGTTTTTCTTTACATAGAACCAGACTAGAATTTACTTTAGAATTGAAAAGAAAAGCAAGATCTCAAAAAAGAGAGAATTGTAATACAAATTTTAGTATAAAATAATATCTTAACATTCAAATGACATTAAGCGATGGTGAAATACAAAAAGCGATAAAAATCTTTTCAGAAACTCAACAATCAAACCCCACCCAAGCTACAGTATGAAAATATAACTATTGAGAACCTTGAGTAGCCACTTGTCGCAATGAACCATATTTACCACTGTACAAGTCTAAAATGTAACCGTAAATAACACTAAGACTCTGGGTGTCACTTCTTTTATTCATGGTGTTAACTTGTGAATTTATGTGAACCATTTCAAGAAAAGTTCTTTTACAAAATGAGTCAGCTCTATCCAGAATCTCAGCACCATCCCAGTCTATCCTGTGGTCTAAATTGTTAACATGTTCCGACAATGCACATGACAAAACGCCCCTTCTACAGTCACTTTTATGAGATGTATATATATATATATATATATATATATATATATATATATATATATATATATATATATATATATATATATAGAGACCTCAATCATATTTAAATCTAGAATGCTACTTTATCTAAACAAGAAAACATTCGACCAGTGTGTACTACCAATCATGACCTATGCATGCGAAACCTGGATACTAAAAACCGACATTATAAGGAAACTGCAAGCCGCATAACGCTCAATGGAGCGAAATATGCTGGGATTAACAAAGAGAAACCGTAAAAGAATAGAGTGGATATGACAAATGACACAGGTAATACATGTCATCCACAGAGTCAAATCCCTCAAATGGCAATGGGCAGGACACCTGGCAAGAAGAACGGACAACAGATGAATCACAAAAATTACAGCATGGTACCGACGAGGAATTAAGACACCCAGAGGAAGACTAAACCTGAGATGGTACGATGATATTAGGAAATTAGCAGCGATAACTTGGGCCGGCATAGCCAACAATAGACAATAGTGGGCCCAACTACAAAGAGAGTATCTAAATATGTGAGGGAGGCTACGCCATAATTGGAAATGTTTGAATAAGCTGAAAATGATAATGATGATAATGCATAATGTATATATTCACGAATCCGAATGATTCGCTAATCGGAATAGGTCATTATAATTCTGTTGCTATTAAAGAAGTTGCTCTGTAATGGAATACACATGTTGATATTTTGTAATTCGAATATAAGTGCAAAAAGCTACCGGATTAGTAACAATATTTGATAATATGATGGCAGATTGTTGGAATAAAAAAAATAATATTAATAATATCTAGTTATTGACATTGATAATACCATTAATACAATTTGCGATTAATATTAAGATATTAATCCGCAATCCGCAAAACTGGACAAGTGGATAAACAAAATAAATCTGATCTAATGGAACATATTAAATACAGATTTGGAGTAATCTAGAGATTTAGGATTATTAATCGTTTTTTTATCAGATTTATCAACATATGTATTTCATTGTTTAATAGTTGTTCAACGCATTGTTTTTAGTTATAGTTAGTATACACATTTATATATTGGCTATGCATTTTTTAATAGATTATAAATACTTTTTTGATTTTTTTTATGGTTCTGTTATTATACTGGCATAGTTGTCCAGCAAAGTTTGACATTTCGTATTACTCTTTCATATATCTTTTCTCTCTCCTGTGTCATTTCCTGTATAAATAATTACTTACTTTGTCCCCTATTATTCTTTGTGTTGAAATTCCGATATAATTTTTCTAATAACAATTTAGATGTAGTAGTTTAGGCTTTTAAGACTGCTTAAGACCAGCAAAAGACAAAAGAGCACCATTATCCTCTGCAGGGATCTACCGTATACCTTGTTCCTGCGGTAGCGTATATATTGGAACTACCAAACGCTCAGTAGGAACGAGACTTACGGAACACAAGAGAAACTGCAGATTAGGGCAAACAGAGAAGTCAGCCGTAGCAGAACATGCTCTAAGAGATGGTGATCACAAAATCCAATTCGAAGACACCCAAGTCATTGCCACAACATCTGGATATCATCCTCGTCTGGTCAGGGAAGCTGTTGAAATTCACAAACATCCAAATAATTTCAACAGGAAGGAAGAAACTTTCTACCTTAACAGAATTTGGCATCCAGCTATATCTAGGACCAAAGTAGCAGCACAGAGAAGTAGACCAGTTCCGGAAGAACTACCACCCGAACAAGCCACGCCCCCTCCGCCGACGCATAAATACGCGCTACGCCGACGCGGAGGCATCAGTCTAGTGTGAGCAATCGGAGCAAACACACCTCTGAAGATGCTAGCCACTCGTGCTAGCGAAACGTTAGGAAGCAATTCTAACCGACGACGGCCTAATAACCCGAAAAACCAAAATTCTTCAACAATTTAGATGTTGGGGATGTAGATATTTGGACGAGTAAACATGGACACTATAACAAAATGTACTTAATTTTGACAACAAAAAATAAATTACACAACAGACATGTAAATTTTAATGTGGTCAATTATTGGCTTCCCTAATTATTTTAGAGAATAATTCTATTTAGGTTTATTGAAGAGCACTAAAACCCACATTCAAAAGAATAACTTTAGATATTTTTGATTAGCTCGTTTACGAGTTATCGCCGATTTCTTTTTAAATATTTCTCCTTTCTGATGGCCCTGTATTCACTTATGAGCACCAGTCAAGGTAAAAGATAACGGTCAAATAAAATTTGTAAAACTAAAGAACGGATGGTAAATTTACTACAATAATCTGTAGCAAGAAATAACGCCGCAAGAAATAGGTGGCGACAGTATTCACGGTCCAAATTCCAGAGCGCCAGTTCCAATCGTTTTTTCAAACGTAAAAGTTTCAATGGATCTCAGATGATAACTTATTACAACATATGATAAATAAATATCTAGGTAGGTAATCATCCTTCCATACAAATTATGGTAAGTCGGCAAGTACGGTATGAGTAGGCTGTGTATAACAGTAATTTAAAATTTTGGAAACGGGATTGGAAATAATTGTAGCGTAACAATTTTGGGCTACGGCAATTTACCTCAATTTATTATTCAACTCGGGTTTTCAGTAGTCTATCTATAATCCTATAATAATTATCCCGTTATCTCTACGTAGTCAATTAGGTCTTTGTTACTCTATCCAAGCATTATGTATTTTATCATATTACAGGAACTATTAATTTTCATTAATATATTTTTAAAGATTTTTAGTGTTAAAAGTTATGAATATGAATAATGCCTAATTTATACTTAACTTTTTTTTTTCGTCAATTTGGTATTTGAAAAAATTAAGAGAGTGGAATATAGTGAAGTAATACTTTTATGTAGGCAATTTTCTAACAATGCGAATATTACTTTATTGTTAAAAAATATTCCCTTAACTACTACAGAGGCTATGATTAAACATATCTTGATTGTTTATTTGATAATAATAACGCAGTTGTAAAAAAATATTATTTTAAGTTAATAATAAAAAAGTAGATTTAAGTAGATTGACAAAAAATTACGAGAGGAACGCGTTAGTGTATCATATGTTGAGTATAGAATTTTTGCCAAATATAAATTCAATAAAGGAACATTTTTTGGTTTTCTTTGTTAATAGTTTGACTTTCCTAACCTAGATGCGTATTTTCAGTTCAAAATAAAACAAGATATATGTAAAAACTAATAAATATTTAAAATAAGAAAATAGGTAATTTTTATTTAATAATTTTTAAGAAAAAGTTGGTTATTGACAAAACCAAATCAATATTATGTATCGGAAGTAAATGCTGATTACAATTATTAATATAATTGCAAGACTATGTTAATTTAGAAGTTATAAGATATTGATATTCATTAGTAACCATAGAGTTAAATTCATTTATTAACAACTTAATTTATAAATAAATAAATCAATACAAGATTGTTGTCCGCTAGAATGACCATCCAACGCACTATGCGCCGCGAGTTGTGCAGCCTGCGTAGGCTTTTCAATCGGACTTCAATGGTACAAAACACATGGAGGGCGCGCGGGGCTGAGCATATACAAGCGGCTAGAAACAAAGTACAGCCGCGCCGCCTGTAAGCCGTCTCGTTTGTTCTCAGCCTAAATATTCTTAAATTGTCAACAATAAACATATTCACACTACTCGTTACGTCGCCGTAGCGTCGGCGTCGTGGCAACGTCCACCTCCTATTTACTTCATGCTTTCTGCACAACAAAAAGATTATCATTTCTTAACAGGAATAAGCTATTCTGAAACGTTCTTTCGCACACAATGGAATAAAATCTATAGCAAACCATTAGTAACACTACCACGTTTTTAATTGAAAATTTGCTGATATGATTCAATTGGCATTCTACTTTATATATTGGGAATCTGTTCAATTTTTTTGTATAAAGCCATATTGCCTTGGAACTTCTCCAAATTCAGGAGACTAGGGATACGGTTCAAATATAAAATTTTATTTTCCAATAACTTTTCTAAACAAGTTACCTAGACACTTACTTTACAACAACTTTAATTTTATATTTTTACAATTTATATATTGACATTTAATATTATATATTTAATATTAATATTATATATTTATAATTAAAAACTTTTTGAATTTGAAATAAAGAATTTAGGATTTTAAACTAATTAATTTTTAAAAGTTAATGGTGAAAAATAAACTTTCCAACTTTGTGGTTGCTAAATCTGTTAAAATAAAAGAAAAACATTTTACGTAAAAGTGGTTTGAAAAATTTGTTCTTCGCTATTTTGAGACAAAAATGTTATGATTTTGGAAAAAATAACTTAGAACATATAAAACAAACAATATAAGTGTTTATACCATAAAATTATATGCCTTATCCAGCCAGTGCCTTTTGAATTATTATTTGTTCTTATAGCGGCAACATAGATACATTATCTGTAAAAATTTCAACTCTCTGGCTATAACGGTTCATAAGATAGACCTTTGTGACAGACGGACGGACGGACGGACAGCAAAGTCTTAGTAATAGGGTTCCCGTTTTTATCCTTTGGGTACGGAACCCTAAAAATGAACAGTTTGCTTCATTTTAAGGTGTTTTTAAGAAAATTTTAAATACATTTTTGTGTAAAATAAAATGGGGAAAACTTGTTCATCATTTTGAAAATTTACATCGGATTTCCTATGTTCAGGTCGGCGATGCAACAGACTGTGTACTAAGGTATACATTTCATTTAAATAAAATAATGGAATTATTAAAATTAAAACAGGAAGTTAAACATTATTTTATAACGAGTACGCAAATTAAAAATGTGATACACCAAAAAAACAATTTTCCAAAAAAACTACTGTAATTACAAGGTTAACTAATAATTTTGTCTAAATCCGCAGGCACTGGAATATTTTTCAGTTAAATCGGATCGCAAAGCTCTGTTATTTCCGAATGAGTAGATAAACAATTTAATAATTCGGATTTACAGATCTGAATTACTAAATCCTGCTATAAATTCCGCGGCATTATTTCTGTTGCTGTCCTAATAGTCCAGTCAAATTGTGTTCATTTGCAGCAAAGTTTTGGGGTAGTTTTGATTTATTTCATTTCTAATGGTTTTTGGTGTGAATTTGAGACCTGCTCTGAGGGAATCTGAGGATTATATATAATAGCTCTAAAAGCCTAAAAGACTCATGGCTTGATTGGTTACCATTCTCCATTTGTTTCTGTCTTTCGGCTTTATTCTCCACCCATCCACTCTTATCCTTCTCAAGTCCTCTTCGACATCCTTTTTCCATCTGGTTCTCGGTCTACCCCTCCTCCTCTTTCCACCTATTTCACGTTTCGTTATCATACTAGGAATTCTTGCTGCAACCATTCCTTCAATATGTCCTAGCCATCTCAGTCTTTGTGCTCTTGCTACTTCCGTTATACTCGGTTATTAATTAATTAATTAATTATTAACTCATAATTATATTAATTATTAATTTTTCGTTTCGTTTCCGCTTCAAAGTGGCAGTTTTAACTAGGGGGGTGCAGTTAAAAAAGCGTGGTTTTAAGATTTGGTGAACAATATCGATCAAAACTCACATTCACTCATTTAAAGAAACAACTTAAGAATGTGTCGAAATCACGTGAGCAGACGATTTATTTGACAGCTTAACCCTGGCAGACGCCTGTCAAAGTGGCATATTTTACGGTAAAGTGAACGACAAGTATTACACATTAATTTTGGTGGTTGTATTCCTCTATTAGTATGTTAACTAAAAACCATATAGCAGACGAAATATTTGACAGCGTTTCTGTGGCAGACGCTGTCAAAGTGACAAGCTCACTCTTAGTAAACAATATTTATAATCACTTACTTGTAGGCATTAGTAGTAACACCCTTAAAAAGAAAAAACTTGAATACTTTGGATACATAATGAGAGGACCTAAATATGACCTGCTGCAGAACATAATTAAAGGAAAGAGAAAGGGCAGAAGGAGCCAAGGAAGAAGAAGAACATCATGGCTCAAGAATTTGAGAGAATGGTTTGGAATGACTTCAAACCAGTTATTCAGAGCAGCCGTTAACAAAGTTAGAATTGCCATGATGATTTCCAACCTCCATTAGGAGATGGAACCCGAAGAAGAAGAAGAAGCCCTCGATTACGTAACTAAAAGTTTAACTGATAACAAATATAGCATACATGGTCAGATATGAAATTCTCGGAAGGTTGAAGTAAGAACGGTACTTTGTTGAAATAAAGGTAAACTGCCGAAACTGATATTCCAAGTTATTTATTATAAAGGAATTAAGGGACTTGGAAAGTTTCAAATATACACCCCCTTTATTAGCGTAATTTTCTCCATTTGAATATAAAATCTATATCTCTTCATTATTTTTAATTAAGTTCTATTATTATTTAAATTACCACAATAATACAAATATGACTTCATAAACGCGACGCGTAGTTGTGCTTGCGTTTTTATTGATAACTATAAACTCAATTTTATAGTATAATAATATAGTATAATAATAATTCAGTAACGTAATCGAATTTTGTAAATAAACATCAAAATACAGGGAGTCCCAGGCTGAGCGTGCATTAGAAGTTTTTAGAGAACTACAATATGTAGTATAATAGATAGTGTATCTATATATAATATCTAATACACCTTATGATTAAAAAAACGGCGCATAGGTCGCTTGAAAATGGTGATTGATGACATACTGCTTTTGTGAACAAAATGTCACAATGGCCAGATCTATTGTTTTACACTCAGTTTTACATCACTTGGCGTTTAAAGTCACAAGCTACTGGTTA